TAGATTCTGTAAAGTCTGAATCTGTTAAATATAACAAATCCCATGAGATGCACCTTTTTAAAACCTCTCAGATCAACACTCCCAGTAACACTTTGCTTTGGCTTGTCCCTCTCTCCCACTATTGGATGGCCATCTAATCTTTCTGTGCTGCCGATCCGGTATCTCGGTCCACTTCTTTCTCTCACAAATTCCCTTTGATGAGTCCCTCACTGGCCTTTGATCGGCCTTTGATCTCTGAGGCCGACGGATGGGATCGAGCGGTGGAAACGAATTAGGTCGGGAACTTTTAGGGTGAGCTTCAGAGAGGCTGATCAGCAAAGCGGAGCGGTGGGGAGAAGGAAAATTGACCTCCAGCAGAAGACAACTGCAGAATAGCTGTGAGCATGAGGCCCGGGTGTGTCATTTAACGCAACGCCGGCGAGCCTCCCCGCTCGCTTCACTTTTTGTCCTCTCTGAAAAATGAGCTCTTCGGTAGAAAAAAAGCTGGGCGGTTGTTTCCTACAGATGTGTTTGTATGCTGAGCAGCAGCTCAGAGCCGGCGCACAGAGGTGTGATTGTGAAATATTGACTGGGCCGTCGTGTAGCTCGGCGCCGCTGCTGGTGATCCTGTTGTTTAATGTGCAGGCGCACCCCGCGGAGAGGAGGCGCCGGTCTGCAGATTAAACACCCGGGCCTCTGCCTCTCCGCCGGGAAAGCAGCTGGAGCGCACCGAGCCGGACGTTTGCTCCGCCCTTGGTCGGTCTGAGGGATAGCTGGGCCTGGTCTACGTTAGCACCATCCTGGGTCCAGCCTGGTCTACGTTAGCACCATCCTGGGTCGCCGGCAGGGTGGATGTTATTCATGATAGATATGTGTGTTTATGTGGCCGTGTGGCACAGGCACCCACCTCGCAGCCGCGTGGAAACCGCAAGGGTTCTCTGATTGGATGCCGCATCCGCAGCAGCTTTAATGGGATTATGTTCATCAGGTCTGCATGGATGGCATCTCAGAGCAGGTGGGCGTTTGAAGCCATCGGCAGCAAAGTGCTCTGCAGTTTGTGCACCGCTACTTAATTGCATATTTTCCACCTACTTATTATGAGAACAGCGGCTTTTGTGTGGAGCATCATAAACCCGATGAGACTCTTAGTGACGAACGCAGCAGGGGCTCTTCGTCCCCTCTGGAATCGCTGCTCCGTTAAAACAACTAGAAACCGGAGGATGAGGTACGCAGGTGACTCCGGCCTCATTTAAGGCGCTCAGGCTGCAGGTTCACCCCACGCCGCTCCGGAGTCACATTAGCTCTAATCGCCTGGGTGGAATCACGCCGCGGAATTGTGATTTGCCAACTTTTCCGAAGCCGATGCACTTCCTGTCCACCGTGCACTTGCAAACAATGGAGAGGGATTTTCTCAGAGGGTCTCAGGAGTCCGCAGGCCGTGTCGTTCTCTCTGCCCAGGCGGGATTAGGCAGCCCTTTCACCCCCAAGGGGCAAAAAAGGCGGCCACAACTGGGCCTTAATAGGCTGTCAGCTGACATCATGCTTACACAGAAAAGCCACCCTCAGTGCAAACATGTCAATTACCTGAGCTGCCTGCTGCCCATTACCCGAGCAGTGGAAACAGAAGGACTTCTCTTTATTTGTGAGCCAGTCAGTTCGGCACAAAAGTTGGGGCGAGGTGTAAAAATGAAAGAATTGCATGTTTGCACTTCACAGACCTGCATCATGGCCCAGCTGGACGTGTCTTTTTGATCAATGCCCTGTTAGATTTTGATGAAATACTGGCTCTCTGAAGGCAATCCAGGCCAGGAGAAGACGTTTTTTAAGTGGAAGGTGGGGGAGCTGATCACACAGGTGTTCCATCAACAAAGCAAGAGTTGCTTCACGGATGCTTCCAGCTGAGAATACCATTTCCAGTCCAGTTCTGATTTAAATTTACTTTCATCACATGACGTGGGAGCTGCAGAACACGGTGGAGACTTTTTGTCTTCAGCAGAAATGTTACTACTACGTTTCCTATTTAGTTTTGTAACACTTTGGCTTACTGGTCTGAAATTCGGTGCTCAGTTGTGTTGAGATTTATACAATTAACATCATTATCTTATCGACTGATCAGTCAGTGACCCCAAACTCTTCCAGTAAATCCTTCCAGGATTTCCAGGAGCCTAAACACCCGGAAAGATTTGAGAAATAAGTTTGGCCCCGACCTGAATCCTTCTTTCTGCGTGTGGAGTGAACAGCACTGCCTTTTGTAGTGGAATTAAAGCACATTGAGTCCTGATATAATGGAGGAACCATCTGCCTTAATGTGATTAACTTCCTTCTTATGCTAACAGGCGCACATTTTGCTGGTTTTTGCCGATTCCGAGCCGCATCTCTTTAACGCATTGTTAAAAACAAAGAGGTGAGATTTTCCTCGTCCCCCTTTTCAGACGACTGTGTGCAGCGTTGATATTACTGCGGTTAAAAGGCAGCAACACTCTGGCTGGCGCTAACTGGTTTATTAAAGCAGGGCCGTCCTTGTGACAGCCAATCGTCCCTTTGCTTTGTTGATCGGTGCCCTGTGCCTGAAAAGCCGGTGAAAAATGCCATGATTATGAGTTGTCAAACGCCAATTACCAGTCATTCAGCTCTCCAGCGATGAGGCGGCCGCTCGGCACCAGCCGCCCGACACCTTCTAATTCACCTTTAACGAGCTTTTTGGCGCGTGAACGCAATTTTTCCGAGATTTTAATGGATGTTGACTTGTTTAAAGACCGTTCAGTGCATCAAAGGCATCAAAGCATCACAATCTTTTCATAACTGTAAAGAATAACAATGAGTGAATAGATGCATGGCAAAGGAGATGTTTTTCGCCTTAGATGTGTCACATGACCGTGAACTTTAATCCATTTTCTTCGTTCCACTTCATCTGGAAATAAAGCTGTTGTATTAAAACAACACGCATAGAGCTGGAATCTGAATCCCAATAACCCCAGGCCCAGTTTTAGAGTGGCTGCTCATCAGTCTGGTCAGCTGTCTCTTGACTAAATGTCCCAAGTCGCTCCTCAGCCTGCAGGAATACCCGACTGAGGAAAGCTGGAGGAAACAGACGGGATGAAGTCAAATGGTCACAGGGCCGCAGGTTGTTCCGCAGCAGATGCTGCATCATTTGTTCGATTTTACAGCTTCGAAAAGAACATTTTCTCTGATATGATGTGTTTAACAAAAGCTGTGCCACTGGATGCAAACGCAATGTTCCCACTAATGCCCAATATGGCCTCCATTTCAGTGCCAAAGGGAAAGAAGAAATTAGCTCTCTACCTCATGGATTTGTGCGCCGTGTTGCTTACACTTTGAATGATTTCTCCAGCAAGATAGAATCAAAAGGAATTGGTTTCTTTATCTGCTTTTGTACAATATCAGATCGTTTAATCAGACATGGCATCAAACCAATTCACTTCTGAGAAGGTTTAGGATAAGTACTTGTAGTAATATCTAATAAATCTGGTGTGAGATAGTATTGAAATGCATTTAGATCAAAACCACAGAGATTAGTGCTCTTTTTTTCCAGATTTTTCTCTGTTTTGGACTAGTGTTGTGTGTCTGTGTTTCACTTTCAAATTCAAACTTATTACAAGTGAAACCTAAATATCCACAAATCTACACACAAAAGTAAAAGGCTCGATAAAAGGAGCCAATTAGACCGTAATTCAAAGTCAGTGTGAGTGGGTTTGACATTTCAGGGAGCCGAGCGCTGCATTTTCTTCCCCCTGTCGGTGTTCACTGCAGGGCTCCAATTTACCAAATAACACCAAAGACAAGTCAGGAGTGACGCAGCACGTTTGGCATGAATCAGCAGCCCCTGGGATGAAAAACATGGCCTGGGATGGTTAAGCACGGGGGTGGGAGTGTGATGATGTGGGGCCAACCGTGTGCAAAGGTGTTAATGATTGAATCCAATTCACTAAATTGGCCCCAAAAAAAGAGGAAAATGATAAAGTATCAGCTTTTGTTTTACTTTATTCAGACTGTAGTTGTTTCTTGGGGGCGAAGTCCTGCGGTACATCTGAGAAGAGGTGCAGGTAGACAGAGGTTCCAAGACTGGGAGCGTTTGATCACTTTTCTAGTTTTGAACGCAGCAACTCAAGCATCAGCTTTTTTTTTTTTTTCAAAGTACGGGATTTGTTCCATTTTTTTGTCAATCGTTTGGCAGCTTCTGGCTGAATAGAAGATAAAAGCGGACGTCAGTGACATCCATGCCAGGACGCCGACGATTTTGAGAACGCATCAAAACAAAACAGCCGTGCTTCATTGCCTTCTATTAGCATGAAATGTGGATGTTAACGTGGATGAGTGAGCACCCCATCAGCATATTCCTCCTGTTTACGCTGCACGTCTGTCGACGTGGGGAAGCGCCCGCGTAAACAGGCAAATGCCACAAGCCTCTAAATGTCAATTAGCTGTGATTCATCTCTCTGGAGCTTTGGAAGGAAAGCGGAGTGTGGCCATTCATTTAACCGTCTCCCCTCTTTGATTTTCCATTACGCTCAGCTGATGCTCCACTGTGCAACAGCAGAGTAGGTGGCAAATTGTGGGATCAGTGGGGTTGTGAGCATATAATAGAAAGAACTAAATAGATGAGGTTCATCGTGGTGCACTGACACCAATTTCCCCCTCAGCACGGCGTGCATATGTTTAACACAGCTCCACTATGATGAATAAATGGGATGTCATTGGGCAGAAAGCTGGATTGTATTTTGAATCTTGTGAGTATCTTGTTTTTAAACCAGCTCTCTGTCCTTCGGTGCCCAGAAAAAAGCAGACTCAGGCTTATTTCCGCTTGTATTCATCTTTTGCTTCTTTTTTTTCCGTTTACTTTGTGCAGTTTTCAGATTAATTAAATATTGTTGATGGAAATAAGTGTTTCCCCGAAACGATGGTTTAAAAACATTCCACTTCAGGGGAAAACATCAGAAATGCATGCAGGAGTTATCATAAGCGGCCGCAAATGCATCGGTTTCATCTCAGTTTGCTGAGTCATGGTTCGCCTCGGTCCATCTATCATCCCTGAATGCGACACAGAAACAGGGAAGCTCGTCGTCCCTCACAGTGAGCCCAGCGCTTCTACGACAGCCCAGCTGTACTCAGAAAGGAGGAAAGCATCCACATTTCAGCCCAAACCAGAAGCTTAAGCGATATTTTTCTGTTTTTCTGCCTCGACCTGCCGATCAAAGACTGATGCATCCAGAGTGAAAACAGCAGAGTAGCCAACAATAACGAGGGAGGAGGTGAAAACGGAGCAGTCTTTCCACTCAGGGTCAGACTCCAGCCTCCTTTTGGTTTTGGCTCAACATCTCTGATGTTGCTCCACAGATGGAAGTCTTTTTGGGGAGGCAGAGTGAAGATAAAAACACTCCCGTCCTCTCACCTGTCTGCCAGCTCAGAGTTCACAGGACCCTCTTGAGTCCCACTCCGGGGAAATGAAGCATCTCTGATGGGATCTCATGCTCTCTTCCAGCTCCTTTGCACTCCGCCCAGGTTTTAGTTTTAGACCATTTTTGAAATTCTCTCTTTCTCACCCGCTGCCTGCAGGCTCTCCCTGCCATGCTCCCCCCCTTTGCCTCTTTGCTTTAATAAATCCTTCTCTCGGCTCCTCTCTCCGGTATTATTTTATTCTGTTGCATTCATCCCTCTGCATGGATTTTTTTGCCACCTCCTCGTACACTTTTCCCGACTCTTCCTTTCTCTCCCTCTTTTTCTCCCTTCTATGCCTTTTTAAAAAAATTCCCGTGTCTGTTCCCATTTTGCCTGTCCCACATCACAGAGGAGATTTCACAGACTTTTATGAATAACTCTGAAGTGTGTGTGCTTTCATGGCTGTGTTTGTTTTAAGTATTTTTTGCAGTATTTTTGTGGCAGTGTTTAATTAGGGGAAAAGTAAAGCAAAGGGCAGTGGAGTAAGAGGTGGATAAGAGAAACTCGGTCCAACTTTTGCCTCTTTTTATGGTAATTTTGTCTTTTTTGTGTCCTGGGGAACCTTTTCTCTGAGCGATAATGGGCTGGGAAAAGGGTTTGACAGCCCGTTTTACCCCTCGGGGTGAAGACCGTGGCTCCATGACTGAGTCTGTGTCCGATGCACTCGTATTACAATGAGATGCTCGTACTTATGCGCTAACTCGGATGTGCAATAATCCCTTACACACTCTCCGGCGTGCATGCTATCCGCAAAGGAAACTCGTTTCCGCACACATCGCCGGTCATGTGGATGCACGCCGCAGAGGCCCTGCGGCACACACCCACTCCGTCTCCTCTGTGTGTGTGACTGTGTTTCACCGCTGATTTGCAGGCTAATTCCCAGTCAGCCCATTCACCTCCACGCAGCACCATGTCACTTATTGTCCTAATCAATCCCTCACACACTAAGAGGCTTTTTCAGTGGAACCGGCTTGCGGTTAGCGAGTGCTTTATCCTCTTTTCTTGTGGGGAGAGCGAGAGGCCGCCTCCCCAGAAGAGTTTTATCTTTGCACTCACGCGGGCAGGCGGAGGAGAAAGGACCTTGGTCGGGCTTGATCCCGGGCCAGCAGGGGTGTGGATCTCTGCACGAGTTTGACTCTGACTGGAGTAAAAAAGGACAGAGCATGTGGAGGTGGAGAAGATGAAGAGAGCGCATCTTAATGAACGCCGCAGTGTTTAACTGGGAGCCTCAAACAGTCAAAGACTCTGTAGAAATGTCATTCTCCGCCTCATGCGAATGTTTTCGGAGGCTGCCAGACACACTGAGCCGCTGGATCTGGACCAGATTGCGCTTTAAAAGGATTACAAGTTGTTCTCTGTTGTGCTCCCTCTGATCCTCTCTCCTTTTGTTTTCCTCTCCCGCCCCGTTTGAACCGTTTCCTCTCCTTCCTCTCGTGATTGCAAGCATTACAAGTTCATTAAACTCATTAATCTTAAGACCACAGTGCGTCACGCCACTGCAAAGCAGAAGCACTGTTCGCTTTTGTACTTTCCCGTATCTGCTCATGACTAAAATCCAGAGACAATTCAATACAGTTTTTAATTTGATTTAGCTTTCAAATTAATGGAGATTGATTCGGCTTGTATTTGGTCTTCACCGATCGAGAAATGTTTCCCTATGTCCCTTTATTTTATTGTTTATTTTTACTTACACAGATAATCTACTTTTACCTTTTATACTAAACAATTTTTTTTGTGATACACCTTTGGTAAAAAGAAAATATATATGATTAATTAATCATAATTTTCCTTTTTTTTTTGTATGTTCAATTTGTATTTTCATGTTTCAAATGTGATTACGGTTATGTGCCTCAACTGTGTTTGTTAAATAAAGTTCTATAAAAAGAAAAAAACTAAAACCCCAGATGTTCAGAGAGCGTCTCCTACCCTCAGCCTAACCCCTCCTCAGAGCATCCATCCAACTCACGGAGGGAACCGACGGTTGCTGTTGGCTGAAGGCCGTTCAGCCTGTGAGCCGGTGATTGTGTGACCTGATTGGGTGACCCTCTCTCCTCTTTCTGCCACAGCTGCCGTCGCGCAGAAGGTGCGAGTGGACGGGGAGCTGCAGGCGTATCCCACCGAGTCCGTGGACCTGCGCTGCCAGTTCATCGACGGGGGAGGGCTCACCAAGCTCACGCAGGTTGGCAAATGCAAAGCAACTTTGTGATTTTGAACCCCTTTGGACAGAAATGCTGATGTCTAAACACCCTCTCAGTCCTCCATTTTAGACCTTTTAAAGCTTTTAAGTGGTCTATGAATTCTGATTTAGTAGTCTTTTGCACAAATCACACAAACAGGTGCCCTCTTCCAGGGCCAGTTAGCAATTCCCCTCCCACACATGTTCCTGTAGACTACGAAGGCTAATGTCATTATCTCTTTATTTCTTATTTGGAGGATTTGATTGCATAAATACTAAAAAATGCTAATTTGAGCTTCATTTTCTCAATATATGTCCTCTAGCATAAAAACTCATTTCTCCCCCCCCAAAAATCATATGAATAAGATTACGTACCAATATAAAAGGAATTTCTATTGGTGAAAATGTCATAGATGTGACACTTCTTTATGGAAACTGGAGCAGAAAGCCAGGCAGAAAGCTTTGACCAGTTTGGGTTTGTGCACAGATAAGAGAAAGGGAGCCCTTCTGAAGTGTGCACACTGTTATTCCAATTAGAAAAGCAAAGAAACTAACTGTTCTTTTTTATTATTTCACTGTCATTCAGACTATAATGGGGAACAAAAAGAAATAGAAGCCATAAAAAATAGTTAAATTCAGGCAGATATGTCTAAAAACAAGAGCTTAAACCTCTGACACATTTGTTTTTTTTAAGGTTTTATCAGCTTATGCTACAGAGTTTTCATTATTTTTAGGTCAGCAGGCCTTTTTCATGCACATTGAGAGGCCTTTGCTCCTATTTAAGCTCCCCGACAGAGCCTGCTGAGTTTTCCTTTAATATCGGCTGCTATTTGATGCAAACACTGAATCATCCAGGGATAACAGAGCCCATCAAGTTTTGTTTAAATGTGCTGAACGAGTCAGCTCGTGCGTGACGAGAGGTGAACAAAAGGGAGGCCAACCCGGGCAGGTCGCTTTTAAATTCCACCACGTTTTCCGGAGATGAAACTCTCCTTTTTAAAGCCTCGCATGTCATGTTTTTCGCGGAGAAATGAAAAGACATCAGAGTTAAAAATGAATAAAGCCGTTGTTCATCTTACTCATATTTGAAGTCATTGACTTCTTCTCCGCTTTAATTAATAGAGGTGTGGAGCTGGAGTTGTAGAGTTTTAAAAGCCTGAGGCAGCTAAACAAACCTGGCAATCATAGAATGAATTGAGGGAATTTGAGGGATTGTGTGATTGAACATCTCCCTGATTCAGTCTGGGTGTTTGTGCATCTCTCACCTGTTTTTTTAAAACCATTTTCACAGTTCTCACATCCCCCTCACCACCATTGCCTGTTGGTTTACTCATTGTGTAATACCCATGAACTGGAAGCAACCCAAAAAAGCAGCAAATTGAGAACATTTAAGTGGCTAAGAGGCTTTAAGAGGCCTGCCACGAAAGTGGCCACACCCCTGTGTAACTTTAGATAAAATAAAGACTGTGGCATCTGAAAATGGTAAGAAAAAGAGTTTTGGTTGTCAAAAAATTTGATTTTTTAAACCTGAAAACCAACTTCTGTCCATAAATCATTTTAAAATGTATTTTAACAGTGTTTAAATTTGGAGTTTAGAACAAACTAGACATTTATAAACAACCGTGCATTCATTCAATAGAAGCAGTAACTGTGTGCTGATAATTCAGTTTTGTCGTTTTAATTTAATTTTCGTGTGCCTTTTCAGCTACTAGCTGAAAAGACTCAGGTGGGCGGCCGCCGGCTGGGCGTGTGACAGATCGGGGAAAAGCTTTTTAAGCTCTGACCTTTAAAATGAAGTGACTGAATGTGGTTGAAGACGACTAAATACAGAGACGCGTTTGTTTTCTCATGCGCCGCTGGTATCTCTTCAGCTTAGTCAGAGCTGAGGGGCAGCACAGCTCAGAGATGGAGTCCCCTGAGGATGTGCGGGTCACCGTGTGACCACACGCTGCTGCTCAGGCTGAAGAACCAGAGCTGGAGCTCAGACCCTGAGGGGTGTTTTCCCCTCTGCTCCGGGTTTTACATGCAATCAATCCGTATTTTCCTCTGATACCTAATATTTCCCTCTCTATCGACAGCTGAGGGGGGGGTCTCGTCCTCTAATTGTGATGACATGTCGACCCCCCCACCCCCCCTCTTCCTCTGTCCAACATTGTGCTCTCTGCTCCTTCTCTTCCTCCAGAAGTCAGACATTTAATGGATGCTATCTAAATGTGTATCGATGAGCTGCCCCCCCCCCCCTCCTGGTCTCCCACTTCAGCCGCTATAGGCTGTCACTTAGAAAACTGCAGAGAGGAATCGGATCAATTTGGTGTAACATCGAGGTGTTTTCCCTTATGGCAGAGTCTCTTATAGCTGCGGCAGATATTGATATTTCTCCTCAAATCAGAAATGAGACAAAGGAAAGCTTATGAAGCTCCTTTAGAGAGAGAAAGACAGCAAATGGAGCCTTTTCTTCAATCCCTGAACCCTTTTTTGGCCTCTTATATGTTATTTCTTTTCACATTACAGATTTTGTAGTTATATCAGATCAATTTAGCTCATTTAATACAGATCTGTCACCAGTTTATTGCTTTTTTTATGTTGTTCCTTCCCCTGTCTGTTTTTGTTTTTTTACAGAGATCTTTCAGTTTCAGGGTTTTTATTTTCGGGGTCATCTCCTCATTATCTCAACTCTCCTTTTATTAGCAGCAGAGTTCATTCTTTGTCTTCTGTGTATAAAAAAAACCCTCCCGCTTCATTCCTGCCTTGTCATCTTCCTCCCAGAGCCTCTGCGTTCCTCTCTTGGTTTTTCTTTGAGGTTTAGTTTGAGCATCCAATGCACCTTTCATACCCTCTCAGAAAAGAAAGAACCCCTAAAGGGTAAAATTAGCCTTTAGGGGTCGGCAGACTTGTCTCTGGAGCGAAACCCTGAAAGATCCTGCTGGTAAACCCTTAAAGTTACTCTATTTACTATTTGGCAACATAAGTATGCCTTTAAGAGCTCTAAAAGTAAAACTAAGAGACATGGATGTGCTCTTGTCGAGCATTTATTGTTGACTTTAGCTCTTCTGAACCAGTTCAGGGTCACATGTACACACTATCTATTACTAATCTGAAATAAGAACTCACAGCCTGTTTACACATCAGGGATTAAATACATGGAGAGCCAGTTCCTCACCGGGCTTTGAAATTAAATAAATGCAGCTATCCGGATATCACAGTGTCCATGATCAAAGTGACATTTTCTGTTTCGGTTTTTCATTCTTATTTTATGGAGCAGTGTTTTTCACCTTATTTTAAGACCTGGATACAGTCATGCTGGGGTTTTTTTCCACATGGCTGTGCATGTGCATGTTTTTTTTGTGAAAACAAACAAAATAAGTGTTCAAACTAAATCCAAAAGCTGCTTTTATAGCTCCAAAACCTGACTCACAATCTGTATTTTTGTATCACTGTGATTCAGTGAGATGTGCTGTGGGAAAGTTTTACTACCAATTCTTGATGTTTCCACATAAGACGACCACATTATCCCTTAGAAAAAAATCCCAAAGCTGCTCTCAGCTGTCCAGGAACCTTGTCAGTTTGAATTAATATCAAAGGTTGGACTTATTATGATGTAATCATTGATTTTCTGTTACTCAAAGGCGAGAAGCTGAAAAGGCAGAAGAAGAAGCCGGGCAGCTCTGGTTATTTGCTGCTAAGATTGTCCCCTTCTCCTCAGGTTTCCTGGATATGGGAGCCGGTCGACGGCCAAAGGGACAACATCGCCGTCTTCCACCCGGTTTATGGACAGAGCTTCCCCAACCTGTCCTTCAAAGACCGAGTGGTCTTCCTCCAGAACAGCCTGGTGAACCCGTCCATCAGGATCTCCAACCTGTCCATGTCCGACGCGGGCCGCTACACCTGCGAGTACGCCACCTACCCCACCGGGAACGAGCAGGGGACAACCACCCTCGTCATGCTCGGTGAGTGGAGACGCCCAAAAAAAAAAACCCAGCCGCCGCTTCCAAATTCAGACGGCGCTGCTCCTATTCTCAGAGAGCAGCCTTCACAGCCATCTGCTTATCACTGCCTCCTACACCAGCAGCCCCACGGGAGCCAACCTCCAACAGGGCGGCCTTTAGAGCGCTGGGGAGAATTCTCCAGGTCTTTCCTTGTCACATGTGGTCTGAAAAACCAGAAAGATCCTGTGGAAAGGCTCCATGTGAAGGTAGCTCTGTCCGCTTAGATAAAGCTGGTTTGTTCAGAGAGGAATCTGGAAGATGAGATAAAGGGCTGCTGTTTACCGGAGAAGAGCCCCCCGCTCAGGTCGAGCTTTTAAGTGGATTCTGTGCGTGATGTAAGTGAGCTTAGGTTATGTGAGTCCATTTAATCCCAGCCTTCTAGTCCAAACAGCAGTAAATGTTGGACTTGAAATGATGGGATTTGATTACGTTTGTTTCAACAATTCTAAGAAATATGCAGCGGATACTGCAGTAAACCTTAGTTGTTCAAATATTTGGATAAATATTTGCATCTTAATAGGCTTGTTCCATAAAACAGCCCCTTAAAATGTGATACACGCTTCTGTATAATTTTTTTACATAATTTGCATAATAATGCGACCAATCACGATTAATCGAAAAATGCTTTGGCTAAAATCTTAATCATTGAGCAGCGCTGAAAAAAAAAAAAGGTATTTTAAAATCTGAGCCTTGACCGGGCGCGCACGGGGACCGGTCGGAAAGGTGCTGACGGGGGATTTACATTTTAAAGACACTGGTCAGGACATTCATACAGGGCAAGAATCAGCCCGGATACTTCAATAAACAGCGAAATAGCATTTTGAATGCCTGAAAAACTGTTGTCATTTACACGTGTTAGCATCTGAATGTGGCGCTTGTGTAAAATCGGTGCATTTGCAAATGATTGTCGCCATGTGCTCTATATATTACCATGTGTAAAAAGACAGCAGTGGGCATTCTGAAAGCCAATTTCCAAACTCTGTCCCAGCTGCCGCTTGGCAGCAGCCACAGTTGAGCCTTTTCAGGCCCGCAGTCCGTCACAGAGCCACAAAAAGACAGACCAAACAGAAAAGGCGCGGAAGCCGGTGGTGGGAGGCAGCCAGAGCGCTTGGCGGGAACCCACGCACGACAGGGAGGACGTCCAGCCCTCGCACAAAGACGGCCCGCTCCCGCCTCGGAGTGTAGCCGGGAGGAGCACAGCGCCGGGATGTCGCGCGTTCCCATACAGCCCAGCGATGTAAAGGCCGCTCTGATTTACAGCCTACGCAGAGCAGAAGGCGAAATGTTCACACTCACGTTGTTCTGGTGCACTGAAGCCCACACGTTGGCAACTTCAGAGGCTCAAGAATGGCAACAATCTGGCTAACCTGGTGTTTATCTGCACTACTTACCCTCTCTGCACTCAAATATGTGTACATATGTTTATTCATACATTCCCAATGTACTAATATATATTATACCATATTATAATATTATATTATACATGTGATAATGTAATTATAGTATAATTATACTTAAAGGCTCAAAGTTTTAAGGTCCACAAACTTCTCTTGTGTTCTCTTAATTCAATATGTACTAAATATATTTGCAGCCTTAAAAATCACCTTTACTAACTTTTCAAAAGTAAAACAAACAGATTAATGGGATTTATTGAATTTTAGGGGATTTATTCAGACATTTTTGGAAAATATCTGTTTAAGAAAAACAGTAAATCAGCTATTGAGATACACTGGGCCATGGTTTAAGGTCACTTTCGACCCAATCAGTGCAACAAAAGAGGAGAAACATTCAACAAACAAGCTTATATAACTCTACAACCTCCTACAATGGTCAAGAAGTTTAATCGAGTGGACTGAAGGACAGGTTTTATAACAACAACTCAGACATTTGTCTTTCATTTTGAGGCAGATGCACCAATCGACAAAAGACAAAAGAAATACATACATTTTAGCTTCACATAAAAATATTAAAAAACAACTACATGATAAGAAGAATTCTCATTAATTGGAATAAAAAAGATACAGTAAAAGCAAAAATATGCAGAAAATGCTCTTTCCCCCTTGCAAATGTTCAGTAAAGAGATTATTTGCCTTTAGCTCTCAGACTGCAAACGGCTAAAGCCAGAAAACTGCAGAGGAGCTCATCTTTTGGTCGCTGTTAACAGTGGAAGCCTGCCTTCAGAAATCAAAGGCAGCCGGTGTCAGGAACTCACACATACTGTGCGTCCTCCCCCCTTTAAAAAGGACTCAGCTGCAGCTGTTTTCTCACAGTTAAAACAGGGAGGGCTGAAAACTAACCCTTCACCAGGTTCTCATAGAGAATTTATAACAAATAAAATCATGCAATCAATATTTGAGTCCCTTTTTGGCAGTTTGTAAGTGACTTGGGGACTTTCTAGCTCTTATCATTGGTCAGGAATCTCCTCTGTGACATTGTGCATTCCCAGGCTAAAGCTTGGATTACACTCTGCAGAGCAGAGAATCTGGCCTGGTCCATCCTGGACCCCGCCGCCGCTGCCACACAGCAGAGGCGGGGTGAGAGGTGGCTGCTGGGGAGCTCACATCTGTATGGAGACGGGGCGGTGCCAAGCCCCCCGGGGCCAGGTCTGCTCCACCTAAAAGCACTTGGCAAATGAAACGCCTCAAAGCCGGCGGAGAGCAGTCTCATTCTATCTACTTTGATATGGAATCCATACCAGCCAATCGCATTAGGCATTATTGAACCCACAACTGCTGGCAGCCAATCATATTAGATCGTATTTGATACCCAGTCACTAGCCCCCCCAATCATATCACAGCTTATTTAGGTATGAATGCATAATCCTGACAGCCAGGGATATTAGGAGTTATTGGCCACAGCAGCAGAGCCAGACAACCTTATTACCACTTAATGGGGTTTGAATAAAGAATCACTGGCTCGCCGGTGAGTGATGACATCTGATCTGGGATGGACACCATGCAGAACAAACGGCAGCCAATAATGTTGCACCTTATTGGATTTAGTGAGGCGAGCAGGACAAAGATGCAGGTGAGGCTGAGACCAGCAGATCCGTATATTTACAGTTTTATTTATGATAATGTATTTACAATTTTATTTACAATAACATGAAATGTATATGTAATATATTATCTCTGAAGATTAATATAAATATAAATATACAATATTTACTATATATCTATATTAAAAATAAAATAATTGTTGGGTTTCTGTAGTTAACTTCAGAGTAGGTCTGACCTGCTCTGTTTGGAAAGCGCTGTGAGACAACTGTTGTTGTGATGTGGCGCTATATAAATAAAATTGAATTGAATTGAATAATGTAGATATAAAATTAATGAAAATATAGATAAATATGCAATAAATTAAAATATAAAATTCCTATGTAAAATTATGTATAATAAAATGATATAAAATTAGTACATGTAAATAATATCCAACATTGCTCCACAATTGATTTGAATAAGTTTAATAAGTAGGTCTTTCTTTAGCTCTAAACAACCTGAAAATGATTGAATGGAAGACAGAAAAAAGGACGTGAGATGGCCACCAAAGTCGGGCTTAAATCTTCCAAATAAAACCGCTCGATTTCATGCAAAAAATAACGTTCAGTCAGACCAAAACTGGACCAGGTGCTCAGCAGATCCTTCCAGGTAATTTTCAACGCGACAGATAACGTGCAGAATTTAAAGTGAGCCTGTTTGGAACGCACAAAGCTGACACACAATTATTTGCCTCTTCCCTGGTGCTTGTGTTTGGAATGAGGACGGCTGCTTCCTCATTAATGCACCTGAAGGCCTCAGCTCACCCGAGTCCGGCTCACAGGGAGCAGGGGTTTCACCTCCCTCCAGACTGAGGGCTAATGGCCTTTGTTTCCTGCTCTTTGTGGCCAGGACTTTGTTTAATTTACTCAGTTACTGCAAATATTAAACAAAGCAGACGTAACGTATTATCCTGTGTTGGATGCGGGGTCGATAGTCCCCTCATGGGGCTGTGATTAAAGAGGCCTGGAATTAAAAATGTATGCTTAAGAACAATAAGTGCCGTCTGCATTTGCAAAAAGCACGTTACTCACATACTGTGGGGCCATTAGCGTTCATTTGCCTTCCGTCTAAATGTGCTAAATGAATGCAGGAGGAGGCTGCAGCTCGCACTCTGCAAGTATGATTAAACAGGCACAAGGTTTGGCTCCTCGGATGGAGTTTGGCTCCGCAGAGTCTCTGTAACTTGACAAACAAAGTTGGTTTTTGGTGATCTACGGCGACACGAGGCTAATGAGAGAAAGCAGCCACGGCTGCTTCCTGCAGGAGACTTTCTTCCCCCTGTTCCATGTCAGGAAATGAGACATTTTCCACTTGTGGGACGGCCCCGCTGTAGAAATAATGATTGATGGCATCCCAGACCCCTCTGCCTATTAAAGCAGCTGATTCCAGGCGGGATTAGAGCATACCTGCTCTTCATCAGTATGTGTTATTCAGGCTCTCCTCCATAGACTATTTTCACCTCAATAGATTCAGGTCAGCCTCTCAGCGGTCAGCAGGGAATGTTGCTCTGCCCGGCAGCTCCCGGGTGAAAGTATGCGTTGGAGGTACAAATGGGGTCCTGCACTAAGGAAACCAGACGCGCCAAACCAAACCTCCCCAGAGGAAGAAAGGTTAACCTGGAATTATGGAAGTAATCCCTTTAGCCTGGCAGCAGAATGTATTCTAAACCCCAGGACTTGCCCAGAGTGTTTACTGGAACTTTTCCTGACCTCTAATTGGAGTTTAACCCTTTAGCGCCACACACAATACACACCCGTTTTAAACTTTGTTTAAAACACAAAAAAATGCAATTACTGAACAGTTTTTCCTGTTTTTGCATGTAATTTTGCACTAAAAATGTTCAGAAATATTGATCGAATTAGATTCAAATCACCTGTACATTATATTTATTTGTTTTTTTAATCTTATTAGATAAACAAAGAC